CCCCCCATCAGCCGCTTAGTCATCAAAACCTGCAAAGGAGAGACTCTCCTGGGAGGACAGATGTGACAATCTTCTATTACATAATCAGGAGGTGAGGTCCCGTCACTTTTGACATAGGCTATTGGTTAGAAGCAAGTCACAGGTCTTGCCCATACTTTGAGGGGGTTATAACGATGTGACTAACAGGAGGTGGGAAACACGGAGGCCACCTGAGTGTCTGGGCTCCACAGCCAAACGTCCTGGGTTCAAATCCTGACCCCATCGCATACGAGCTCCAAGAAACATAAGCATTTATTAATCTCCAAGCCTCAGCTTCCTCATCTGTAAAATGAAAAATCTACTCACACCTTCATGCCAGGGTTATTAAATTCCAGAAACTCCTCATTTCCAGATACCCTTGTGCCATTTCACGGTGGTTTTGCCTAATTTATATGCTTCGAGAAATCTCACTATCATCTCCCCTCTATAATGTAAATCAACTTATTTAAAAAGCAAACTTAATAGTACTACTAGACATTTAAAAAATATTAGTATTACAGAAGATAACTGTAAACACACATTATCAGTAATAAAAGTTATTTGTCTGTATACCTCCAAAATTCACCCTGCACATCACTTGTGAAAGGTATATATGCCCCCTTGAGAGGCTGGGGCCAACAGAGCCTGCATGCCACAACTACTGAAGCCCACACGCCTAGAGCCCGTGCTCCGCGACAAAGACCCTGAGTTCATCTCCTCTCGTGAGCACACCAAAAACACAACTCTCCGCAGAACAGCCATCAATGAAAAAGACCAGAACCTACCAGAAAAGATCTTCCACAACTAAAGACACAGAGAAGGAACCACAGCGAGACGGGTAGGAGAGGCAGACTCGTGATACAGTCAAGTCCCATATTCCCAGGGTGGGCGACCCACAAACTGGAGAATAATTACACTGCAGAGGTTCTCCCACGAGAGTGTGACCACTGAGCCCCACGTCAGGCTCCCCAGCCTGGGGGTCCTGCCCTGGGAAGACGAGCCCCCAGAGCATTTGGCTTTGAAGGTCGGCAGGGTTTAACTTCCGGAGCCCCCCAGGACTGCGGGGGAAATAGCGACGTCACTCTTAAAGGGCCACACAACCTCTCACGCGCGCTAGGGCCCAGCACAAAAGCAGTAATTGGATAGGAGCCTGGGCCAGACCTACCTGCTGGTCTTGGAGAGTCTCCCGGAGAAGCGGGGGTGGCTGCTGCTCACTCTGGGGACACAGACACTGGCAGGTGGCATCCTCAGGAACCGTCCTACCGCGTGGACGCTGCCGCTTGCCAGCTTCCGGCAGCTGTCCTGGTGGGAGCCTCCCTCCAGCTCATTAGTGCCAAGGCCTGGCCCTACCCGACAGCCCATAGGTGCCAGTGCTGGACGCCTCAGGCCAGGCAACTGACTGGGCAGGGACCCAGCCCCACCCATCAGCAGACGGGCTGCCTCAAGACCCCCTGAGCGCTCTGCCGCCTCTAGACACGGCCCTGCCCACAAGAGGGCCTCGGACGCAGCTCCGCCCCCCCGCGTTGAGGCATCAGCTCCAGAATCCCCTGCGCCCTGGCCCTGCCCTCCAGGAAGCCGGCTCTGGCCTCTGGACCAGCCTCACCCACCAGGGGGCAGACAATAGAAAACCATAATCCCCCAGTCCGCTCGTAGCAGGCCAGGCCCTTCGCCGAGACCAGCTGGGCCTGGCTCTGGCCAGGCCAACACAATCTTTGGGGCGCCCCAGACCCCATACCCAGCTGTGTTAGGAGCTAGCTCCCTCCACCAGTGACCCGCCATCAGCCCTGGGATCCCTGGGCCCTGCAACCACACTCAGGCTGCTAGAGTCACCTGTGCTACCTTCTGTCGTAGTCACACCTCTGCTCTGAGCACGGATGGTTAAGTCTGCATGGGTTAAAGGTGCATATAATGCAACTCCCCTCCATCAGCTGCTTATGAGTAGTAGTTGCCCCATAAATAATTTTCTACTATTCAGAGGAGCAGTGCCAATCTTGTGTGTAGAATCTTGGCTACAAACATCGAGGAAATCCCTTGATCTCTCGATTCTCTCCTTCCTTCCTTAGTTCTTTTCCCTCCCCTCTTTTCTTGCCTCCCTCTCTCTCCAAAAATTATCTGGACATCTCAAAAGCCAAGTGGACAGCATTCCCAATGTCATGAACTGGTTTCCCATAAGCACCCATTAGACTTTTGTTTGAGCTAAAGAATGGAGGTGGCCTTCAGGGAGACAGAATGGGGACTGGAGGAGACATAATGATAAGCCACAGACGCTGAATGGCATGTATGATTGACATCAATCATAACAGATCTGTCACGTTCACCTGGGCTGAGCAGTGTACCACACACCCGTCTACCAGGCTGTGGACAGGAGGTTGTGTGACTTGGCTGAGTCCTGGCTCATCCACCTGTCAACAGGATGACTTTGGGGAAATGTGCCTGGATTTATTGGTCACCATAAAGTTCAGAAGCATTACTTATGTAATCAGTTAAAAAAAAAACTTTTCATTGTAAAAAACAGTTAAAGTTTGTTTAAACTCTGAGCTTCAGTTTCCTTCTCCACATCTGTAAAATGGAGGTAATATTAGCACATTTTTAGAGTGAGTGTATCAATCAGGGCTCCCCCCTTAAACAGCCATAAACAAAGAAGAGATATATATATATATATATATAGAGAGAGAGAGAGAGAGAGAGAGAGAGAGAGAGACAGACAGACAGAGAGAGACAGAGAGACAGAGAGAGAGAGAGGAAGGGTCAGCCTCAGCCTCTGGGGGATTTCGATCATCCAGGAAGACATCCTCCAGGAAGCTTGAGCTGTGCTCTGATTGGTGCATAGGAGAGATGAACAGGTGAAGAAAGAGTGCTCCAGGAGGAAAGACATCAGGTGCAAAGACTCGGGGGCAGAGAGTGTTTAAAGAATAGAAGAGACTGGCAGAAGCCAGTGTGGCCAGAGCGCAGAGGCCTCCGGTGGCTCGTGTGCGCTGGGGCCTGTGGGTGAGCGGGCTGTACTTTACAAGACACCGAAGTCCAGCTTAAGGAATTGGATCTTTATGTGAGAGCAATGGGATGCCACAGAAGCAGGGCTGGGACACCGTCGGGCTTGGGTTTTAAAAAGACCGATATGGCCAATGGACAAAGAACAGTCTAGAAGGAAGCAAGCTAGAGATCAGTTGGCAGTTTCTGCTGTGGTCCAGAGTGAAGGGGATGGTGGTGTGGATAGAAGTGAATGGAGTAAAAAAGGAAAGTTCTTTTGCCATTCAAATGATCATCTTTTGGTAAAGCTACTGTAACATAGTATTGTAATATTATATTGTAAACTAGCCACATGACAAAATTTTCTAGTGAGACAAAGTTTGAATGTTTAACTTTGGTTGTAAGAAATGCAGTGAAGGGGAGGGGCTTCCCTGGTGGCGTAGTGGTTAAGAATCCGCCTGCCAATGCAGGGGGCACGGGTTCAAGCCCTGGTCCAGGAAGATCCCACATGCCGTGGAGCAACTAAGCCTGTGTGCCACAACTGCTGAGCCTGCATGCCACAACTACTGAAGCCCACACGCCTAGAGCCCGTGCTCCGCGACAAGAAAAGCCGCCACAATAAGAAGCCTGTGCACCGCAACAAAGAGTAGCCCCCGCTCGCCGCAACTAGAGAAAGCCCATGTGCAGCAACGAAGACAAAACACAGCCATAAATAAATAAATAACATAAATTTTTTTAAAAAATGAAATGCAATGAAGGGGAAACATCTCACATATTTGAAAACTTTTATTCTTTTAGAGAATTCAAAGAAGATATACAGATGAAATCTGACAACACATGCGGATTTGTAATTCTAAAAATAATTTCACAGCAGTGAGAAAGCATATACTTATTTTGGTGATGTGCACATCTTTGTTCAAAATAAAGATATAAATGTACACTTCTGAAATAGTCTAAAAATGTAACCTAAAAAGGGAAATCTTTATCAAATATACAGAAACATATAGTATGCTTTTAGGAAAAGTAGTAGTAAAAACCTGTGCAAATAAACTACATGTAAACACAATTTTTAAGAGTTTTACAAGTATTGCTTAAATCTATATGTCTTTTCCATTTATGAAATCATATTTTCCCAAGGAGTTCAAGTCACATAACATGGTTTACCTAGTTAATCTATAATGTATGCACACTTTACTACTGACCCATCTATAGCTGGGAAAATTAAGGCAGAGAAAGTCACTGAATATTTTTAAGCCATGACTAAACTTTAGAACATTGCCCTAAACTTCTAAGTCAAATACCATATATATATTTTTAAGTGATGTAAGCAAATTGCCATTAGAATACACACACACACACACACACACATACATACACACACACACATACACACAATTTAAAAACTACTGATCCAGTCCTTAATAGATTAAATAGACTCAATGCCATAATTAAATAATTTCAGGATCCTTTAACACAATGATGCCACAGTAAATCATTAAGGCATTCTTAGACAGGAGGTTTTGACTTCATTAAAGTACTTCTTAACATAGAGGTTTTCTCTAATTTTCCAATAATGTTTCTATTTCAAAACAAGAAAAAAAAAACAGCTTCATAGAGACCTGATAACTTTAACCAATATTTAGTTTTGCTTCTATTATTAAGCAGTATTTCCCCAAATATATTAAACGGAGTTACAACAAACGGATCATCAATACTACACAGGCCCCCAATAATCTAGCTATAGTCGGTCTTTCATTGTGAAATGTAAACTTCTGAGAAGTGAAGATTGCAGCAGTGAATCCGGTAAAGCTAGGACAGAAACATTTAGTGACTTTTTTTTTTTTTTTGCGGTAGTCGGGCCTCTCACCGTTGCGGCCTCTCCCGTTGCGGAGCACAGGCTCCGGACGCGCGGGCTCAGCGGCCACGGCTCACGGGCCCAGCCGCTCCGCGGCATGTGGGATCCTCCCGGACCGGGGCACGAACCCGCGTCCCCTGCATCGGCAGGCGGACTCCCAACCACTGCGCCACCAGGGAAGCCCCATTTAGTGACTTTTACCTGACCAACGGATAAGTGCCCAACTGCCCTATACAAGAGAAAACAGGATGATGAGCAATTCTATGTAAGTCAGGATGGCGCTGATGTCAGTTACGTGTAGTTACATGTAAGCAGGCGGTATACCCTGTAGAGTGCCTGGCATTCCAACAATCTGGTTTCCCTGAGCCAGATACCATCTTAATAAATACCATCAGCTACACAGACAGTACAGCTTCTAGAACAATTGTACAGAAGAAAGAGTATAAACACCTGGGACTAAATGCTCTTGACATGCTGTTTCATGCTCAGGGTTTTGATGTGTGCTTTCCTGTCATGCAGAAGCCCAAAGCCTCATTCTTGCAAAAGGGTAAAAATTGCTGCTCGTGGTCTTGGTAAAAAAAAAAAAAAAAAAAAAATCTGGAAAATAAAGTATACCCCAATTATACATCAGAGCAGTATAGTTAAACAAGAGGAATTATTAGCAAAAAAATAAATGCTAAAACCAGTAGTGCCCTGGGCTCTTGTGTTTCACCAAGATAACTGTGCACACTGTCCCAGCTGAAGACTGGAAGTTTTGCAATTAAGCTAGAATTCCTTCGTTATCCTACTTGATTCAACTCTGTTTGTTGGCATGTTCAGAATCTGACAATTGCCTAATGATACCAGACACGTAGGGAGGAATTCACTGGGCCTCATTCAGAAATTTCATCTGTAATTGCATGTTTCCCGAAACAATCCACCTATCAGCAAATACCCTGAACTTGCAGTTAGCAAATAGCAACTAGTTCTAGGCAAATTCTAGGTGATGTCGTTGAAAGGGAAGAGTGATTGAGACTGAGTTTTACCACTGACACCTAATTCTATAAAGCTATGTGTCAGAAATGTCATATTTTCACATCTGAAAATACTAGCGATTTCTCAGGCTAACTTCTTATCACTTCAGTAGTTGAAAATTCATTTTATTGTGGATTAGGGGGAAATAACTAGACTAAAAGAACACCATTTCATCAAGGAAATTAGAAATAAGGCTAAAGTATACTATTAGGCCTATGTTAATTTAAAGGAAATAATTAAGCAGCAATTAAATAGCTGATATATGAATATGGCAAAAATTATGAAGCTGGTATGAGAACACCCACACGGTCAGAAAAGGTAATAAATGGTATGTTGCAGAAAAAGTACTACGTTGTATTTAATACAGGCTGGTAAATATCTCCTCTTCTATGCCAGGGGTCTGTAAATCAAGACCCTATGGTCCAATAAGTACTACCACCTCTATTTACGAATAAAGATTTATTGAAATATAGTACTGGAAGGCAGAATCATGGCCCTCAAAAAAAGGCTTAGTCCCTAATCCCCAGAACCTGTGAATATATTACTTTGCATTGCAAAGGGAGCGTGGCAGATGTGATTACGGTTATGGACCTCGAAATGGGGAGATCATCCTGAATGATATCCTGTCTGAGAGATGCAATAGAAGAAGGATGAGGGATTTGAAGCCTAGAGGCTAGTTGGCTTTGAAGATGGAGGAAGAGGTCATGAACCGAGGAATGGTGGCCTCTAGGAGCTGAGAATAACTCTTAGTTGATGCAAGAAAACAGAAACCTGTCTTACAGCCATAAGAAACTAAATTCTGCCAACAACGGAAATTTGTAAGGGAACAGATTCTCCCCTAGAGCTTCCAGAAAGGAACACAGCCCTGCCAAATGACAACTTGATTCTATCCTGGCAAGAGCTGTGTTGAATTTCTGACCTAAAGAATGATAAAATAATAAATGTGTGCTATTTAATACAAGTTTTAGTAATTTGTAAGTAATTTGTTTTAGTAATTTGTTATGGCAACAATAGAAAACTAATACAATAGTCACACCTATTCATTGACCAGTTGTCTGAGGCTGCCCTGAGGTGGAGTAAAGTGGATGTGAGAGAGACCTTATGTCCTGCAAAGCCTAAAATATTTGCCAACTGGTCCTTTACAGAAAAAGTTTGCCCCCCACCCCGATATTCACATGCAAAAACCATGACAAGCAGCTTGCATCTTGGAGCACTTAGTTGATGCCAGGCTCTGGGCTAGGTATTTTGTATTCATATCATCTTTCTGGATGGATACTATTTTGGTCCCCATTTTACAAACGAAAAAAAAAATGTGAAGGCAGAAAGGTTAAGTAACTGTTCAAGGTCACCCAGTGAACCAACAGTGAGCAGGGACTCCAAGCCAGGTATGGTTGACTTCCAAGCTTGGCTCACCTCTTGGCCATTCTCCACACCCCAGATGCTCACCTGAGGCCTCCTATCTCTGGTAGAAAGCAATGGGGAGCTGTCGGCTGGGTACCAGGATGCCCAAGTGCAGCATCTCCACAGGCTCCTTGTCTGTGGCCACGATGTCATATTTGCGGACAATCTGGAACACAGAAGCACAAAAAAGCAGAATCACCCCTCTTCTCCTGCCTTGAGGAATAGCCCAGAATACAGCTGCAGAAATCCCATCAGGGTCTTACCCAGCAGAGAGCCAAGTGCAGCTGGAGCTCGGCTAATCGGCGACCGATGCACATTCTTTTCCCAATGCCAAATGGAAGATGGGCAAAAGGGTTGATCTTTTTCTTGTCTTGAAGCCATCGTTCGGGTCTAAACTGACTTGAATCTTCAAAATTTTCTTCATTGGACCCCAACACATGCGTATTTAGCATCAATACTGTCTAAAAACACACAGAAACACAAAGCACTTAAAGAAAACGTTTGAATAGCAAAATTTACAAAAGCCATCACCTTACAAATGTGAAAGTAACCCACAAATGTATAATAATGATGAATGCCAACATGTATTGAGTGCTTGAAATGTGCCGGGTGATACTGGCACAATAAATAGGTCATGAACTTTAAAATTTTACATCACATTCTCACAACAATCCCATGTGGTAGGTTTTATTATTCCCATTTTACAGATGAGAAGACTGACGCTCGCAGAGGTTATGTAACTCACTCAAGGCTATACTTGAATCCAGGTCTGTCTATGGAGACAGAAGACCATTATTCCTAATGCTAGACTACACAACACGTCAACTATATACTGCAATCTACACATTTCCAAAATGAATGCTCTCCCAGTAGAAACGTTCAGGGAGATCTAATGGATATTTGAAAAGGGTAAGGTACAGACTGTACAAATTCTACTTACTCCTTTGGGTAAAGCATATTCCCCCAGAACCATTGCTTTGTCAAGAGTCCGAGTTGTAAATGGCACACTCGGGGTAAGCCTGAAAACACAAAATCAGAGATGTCTAAGTGGGCACGGACCAAGTTCTAGCTCAAGGGAATGCAGATCCTGGTTAAATAAATGGTTGCTGCCTGAGTTCTCAAAAAAGGAACATGATCCCAGCTCTTTACAAAGAAGTTCTGTCTCTTTCCTCCCAATATTTACACCTCTTGTTTATATTCTCTATCTTATTGTGTTGGTTCAACCCCCAAGTACAAGCCTGCTTCATAGCTGTTAACAGTGTTTGTTCGGTTTCATTCCCCGTACACGTTCAAGTGTGTACATTGACATGCTTCGCCCTCAAGCTTGTTGTTTGTTCTCGGTTTCTCCTAACTACGCTTCATGAAGTTAAAGATATTTCCTTCTGACCCGAAGACATTGTGAGCTTTGTTTTCCAGAAAAAGAATTTTCAAAGAACATTTTATACAGAGGCTCAAAACCAAAGGTGTCTCTATGTCTTATATAATAATATGGTTCCTTGCTGAGGTTTCATCTCACATCCTTCAATCGTGCCCCTAATCTTAATTATTGCTCATAGCGTCCATTAGAGTATTATGCTTACTGATGTAAAGGGCAAGACTCTGACTTTCCAAGATTTAATAGAATTTGCCCAAATGATTTAGGAAATGAGTAATAGGAAAGGAATATGGTCCAAAGGCTCTTTTTTTTTTTTGTAGCTTTGTAAATGTTTACGAATCAACTGTGGGAGGGCACCCCTTGTTACGTGTTGCAGAGAGCAGCCTTCTGACATATTCACATTGGCTTAGGCACGTGTTCTTACCGCATAGATTCTTTCAGACAGGCTTTTAAATATGGCATATTCCTCAAATCCTCTGCCCGTGGCATCCGATTCTCAGGCAGTACACTCTGAATTTCCTTAAGAAGCTTTTGTTGCACGTGGGGATTACGAGATAAATTGAAGAGGATCCACATTAAGCTGTTTGCTGTCTGAAAGCCAAATGGACATAAACTTGAGTTTTCTGCAGATAAACTGCCTTAAAACCAATATGAGCTGAACCAAAGGTGATGCCTACCACCTCGTCATGAAAACATTAGGAGTGACGCTTTTTTACATGTCCTTCTTGGCTGTGCTTCAAACAAATGCCCTGTATGAAAAGTCAGATTTAGTTTCTAAAACACATCAATGAATAATAGCTTATTTCCTGAGGGAATCAAAGTAGAATTCTTTAAATAATCTGCTGCATTAGGACGCAGAATATAGTTTGGTACAAAAATTGAACACAAATGAGGGCATGTAGAACTGGCCCAATGAGAGTCAGATGGACGATTGCACCAGTATCAATTTCCGGGTTGTGATAACAGTTTATCTTATGCACATGTTACCATTGAGGGAAACTTGGTGAAGGATTAAGGAATCCTCTCTATTTTTTTTCTTAGAATTGCATGTGAATCGATAATTATCTCAAAATGAAATTTGTTAATTGTTTAATATAAAAAATAATATGAAAATTGAATGGGGAGAGAGCCTAAGAGTGTTGCTAATAAAAGTGTCTTTTTTTTTTTAATTTTGCAATGCAAATGCACAAGAAGTTGCATTCCTGGAATTTAACAGAAAGATTTTTTTGGCCACACTCTCAAAAGTTACCACAAAAATAAAAAGGCATTATCTGTACCCAGGGTTTCAGCCTTAAGGAAAGAGCCCTGGTAGGAGGCGGTCAACACCAAAATAAGAAATTCTAGCGTCAAGTTGAGTATTTCAAAGAACCAGCCACAATTTCTGACAAAGACTCATGGCCTTTTAAGTGGCATCCTTTATTTCCTTTCCAAAGGCAATGAGAAGAGAAAAAATATTGGCAGAAACAACCAGTGCAGCTTTTAGCTTCATAATACTCACCACTGGTAGTCTTATGTATGTGTCTTTAGGCCTATTTTTGTCTAATTTAAGCCAAATATTCCCATAAAAATGGTCATTGTGTCCTCTCTGCAGACATGAAGACGCTTTTGCTAAGTGCTATGTGCCACTCACATAAATGAGCCAAGTGCAGGACAATTTGGAGCCAATGGTATTTATTATTTTTGGAAGAAGATGCCTCCAAGTAGCCTTCTTCCTGTCAGAGGACTGCCAGCCTCAGCTGCAAATAAACCGTGGATGTCATTATTACAAGAGTCCAATTTACAAAACAGGAAGAGGGCATAGCCACCAAATTAGATACACTTTCAAATTTCTCTGATTTTCCAAATGTGACTTTCAGAATAGCCAGGACTAAAAAAAGAAACAGATTGAACCGTATCAGTGGGTCCCTTACCACAAGTACCAAATAGAGTTTCCAAAAGGCAGATAACTGTAGCTTTCACCAAAGCCCTGTAAGACAGCCCTGGCCTTTTAGGATAACTGCAGGGGCTGAATGGAGGGGAAGTGGCCTGAGAAACCTCATGGGCACAAAGTATCCCGGCTTGACCTCCATGGAGGAGACACATCTCATAGCGAGCTGGCCTTGCTGCTTCCACTCTCTCTCTGCTAGGTCCATTCTCCACCCACCAGCCAAAGCCCACTTTACAAAACATCAATCTGATTTAAGTTCCTCCCTTGTTTAAAACACTCCAAGAGATTTCCATCACAGGTGCAGTAAATCCAAATGCCTCACAAAGGCTCCTGGTTAACAGGGCCCATCGTCTTCTCCCCTGTCAACTCTGACCACATGTGCCAGTTCTCCAGTCCATCCTTCTTTCTGCCCAGGGCCTTGGCATGTGCTGTTTCCTCTACTTGGAGTGGTCTTCCACCAGCTCTTCCCTTGGCTGGCTCCTTCTCGTTATTCCAGTGTCAGCTCCAGTATGACAGCTCAGAGAGAGACGACCTCCCCTACCTCTCTATGACTTCACCCTGATGGCTTCCTCCAGGTCCTGGATCGCTATCTGAAATGATCCTATTTCATTATTTATTTACATGTCTATCATCTGTGCCCCAAGACCACTTAAGTTCCATGAGGGGTGGCTTCCCTGGTGGCGCAGTGGTTGAGAGTCCACCTGCCGATGCAGGGGACGCGGGTTCGTGCCCCGGTCCGGGAGGATCCCACATGCCGCAGAGCGGCTGGGCCCGTGAGCCATGGCCGCTGAGCCTGCGCGTCTGGAGCCTGTGCTCCACAACGGGAGAGGCCACAACAGTGACAGGCCCGCGTAACGCAAAAAACAACAACAACAACAACAAAATTAACTGTTTCCTTTAAACTGAAATCAAGTGTTTCCCAAACTCCCTCTGTTGACAATTTTAAGCAGAAAAAAATATTATTGGAATTGCAGAGAGTATTCCAATGTTTCTAGACTAAATAACATCCACGGTTCGGCACTTTGGGGTAACATGCACAGCCTAAAATATATCCAGTTTTTAAAAACCTCGATTATCTACCTTGCTGTGCTGTAGGATTTTACTGCTTCTTAATTCCTGTCGCATTTTGCATATTTGTCGTGGCACTTATACCCTGAACCGGATTTCTGTCTCTAAATCACATGAATTTTTCTATCCTATGTTTAAGCACAAAGGCTGTGCTCTGGGTCTCCTGCACATCTCTAGTATGAGAATTTTTATGTCTGCTAAGCTAATGCTCAGTTAATCCGTATGGAATAGGTGAGTTGAATGACTACGTAAAATTCATCATGAAAAAGATTTTACAGCCCGTTGATTTAGCAAACTAAAACCGGGCCCACCCTTACCGTTTCCACTGCAGCCAGCTGGAGCTCTGTCACAGCCGCATACAATTCTTTCTTTGAAAGCTGATTGTGGTGATAAATATCACTAATGAAATCCATACTGGGCTGCTCAGAATATTTCTCTAACCGGTTGTCGACACAAGATTTGACTGTTGGAGAAGAGAAAAAGGGAGAGGAAATCAGCTGAAAATTAGGAGGAGGAAAAGAGTGAAATGGAACCCAGGATCAAATTCTCCTTGCAACGTCTAAAGGGTCTTTGCAGGTGATCTGACAATTTGACAATTTGTCAGATAAGCTAATACTGCCTTGTTGTTAAGTCAGCAAGCCCTGACCAATGCCCACAGGAGCAGGGCTTCTCAAATACTAACGTGCACAAGAATCCCCCGGGCATCTTCTTAAAACGCAGATTCTGATTCTAGAGTCTGGGGTGGGCCTGGAAGTCTGATTTCTAACAAGGTATCGGGATGCTGTTGCTGGGTCTGCAGTCACGTTTTGAGTAGGAAGAGGTTAGAGCTTGGGAGAGGGAGGTCATCATGAGACAGAGGTAGCATTTGGGTCCGTTCTCAGAATCAGAACTTGGTCCCATATCCAAGCATCTAGCAGATATGGTCCCTGATACAGGCACAGTGGGATTTGGCTCCCAAATCCTGGCAGCAGAGGAGAGGAGAAACCCTCCACCATTGTTACCAAACATAAACACACACATACACACACACGTGCAGTGCCCACGCATGCTGACAGTAATGGTGATGTTTGTCAAGTACATTCTAGGCATGCACCTCCCTCACTTCAATCCATCGTACAAGCCACCACCATAATAATAATCATGGTGATGATGGTAAAAATGATGACAATAAATGGCACAGCGGTTAGAGTTGGATCTTCTGCCTGGCTTCAACCCTGGTTTTGCCATTACCTAGCATGCAGTCTTGATAAAGTTACTTAATTTTGAGTCTCAGTTCTATCACTCAGGCCTAATAGAAAACCCTACTTTACAGGGTTTCTGTGAGAATTAAATGAGTGTGTGTGTGTATACTCAGAACAATATTTAGCACCAAATATTCCCTTCATCCTGTAGCAGAAATAGCTCTGATCCATTGAGATATTGCACTGTGCCAGGTTTTGTTTTTTTTTAGGTTTTGCAGAAATTATATTACATATTTTCTTGGCAGGAAACAGTGACAGTTCCCACTAGATCATATGCCAGGTTTTAAGTTATCTATATTAGAACTGAAAACAGTTGTACTGAGGTACGTACTACTACTACTACTACTACTACTACTACTACTACTACTACCACTATTAACCCATTTTAAAGGCGAGACAACTGAGGATGAAAAAGAGTGCATTTGGCCAAGCCACCACACCCAATGACAGAGCTGGGACTTGAACCCAGGAATCTTTGACTCCAAAGCTCTTGTTTTTAACCACTCCTAGTTCCCAAAGAAGACTACAGAAAACTACCTCCTGCCTTTTCCTAGAATTCATCTGTACCAGGGCGATCCCCAAATTCATGAGTTTGCAAAGCCCAAAAGAATCCGGAGGAGCAACTCCATCAAAGGATGGGGTGCTGAGGCCAAGATCATCCAGACCTTCCAGCAGCAGCTCCGAAGACAGGGTTGCTAGGTGCATGTGGCCACGTTACCCGATTTGAAAATGGTGTCCCAGGCCAGAGTGTGCGCCTGCCAGACCTTGGTGTTGAGGCTCTTGTGCAGCTCGACTGGCGTGACCATCATTCTCCCAAACGTGCTCATCATCTGAGGGGAACACAAATGCCTTTTCACGCCCGTTTCTCTTTCTCTCAAAGACAACTTGCACTCCTTGAGAGAAGCGTTCTAAACAACTGCACCCTTTGCTCCCCTAAAGGCCGGAATTCCAAGGACGCCTCAGGGCTCTCAGCACCAGTCCCCGGCCCCACCCTCCAGGGACATATGAAAATCATCTTTGGGATGCTTTTCCACTGGCTGTGTTTCATAAAAAAATTGATCTTATGACCTAAACATAAAAAAAGAAGGATACAAATCTCATATCCATTTCCAATGATTTCCAAACTTCGGCCATTCCTAAAACCAGTTTCACAGGGTCTACTATCTCTACATACAACCTAAACAATCCCCCAAATTTTAATCTGAAAATTTTCAGACTCTTTGCAATAGTATTTTAATCAACTGACCTTTAACTGAAATACCTACTTTCACCTTGCCTGACAACGACTGAATGTGCCTTTTTTTATTATATGTACGTATATGTACATTCATTCATGAAAATACGCAACACATATTAAAATGAACACTTAACTACTGTAATAAAATATGTGTGGATGCCACTCTTGGGAAACACTGTGATGCACATTTGTTAGGTTCTGTAAACGTTTTATAAGGAAAGGTTCTCTACCCAGGAGATGCTTACTGTTTTGATGGCCATGATGAAGTTCAAAGCTTCATCGCCTGCATTCTTCTGAAGGAGCCCAAATCTCTTCTCATATAGCACAAGGCAGATGCCTGTTATTTAAAATAATCAACACTGTTACCCATTCACAACGACACTGGCGTCCATGATTAGCTGGCTACCAAAGGCTCAATTCTGTCTCCCATAAAAGTGAGGTCTTGGGCTTCCCTGGTGGCGCAGTGGTTGAGAGTCCGCCTGCCGATGCAGGGGACACGGGTTCGTGCCCCGGTCCGGGAGGATCCCACGTGCTGCAGAGCGGCTGCGCCCATGAGCCATGGCCGCTGAGCCTGCGCGTCCGGAGCCTGTGCTCCGCAACGGGAGAGGCCACAACAGTGAGAGGCCCGCGTACCGCAAAAAAAAAAAGAAAAAAAAGTGAGGTCTTTTCGAAGAACAGAGGAAAAGCAAATTCTCTGAGAGAAAGGGGCCTGATTACTCTCCTCTCTTTCTAAAATTATCTCCAGGTCCAATGACTCATCCCCTGCAGAGCCTCCTGATCAGAAAAGCCACTGTGAAGATGCAGCCATTTTTATACATTATCCTGTAATGTCTTGATTTTCTCAGAGTTTACCCTTGATATCATGTGTAGCAGCCATTGTTAATGACCTACTCCATACTCATTCTTGCCCATTTCTTCCCTAAGAGAACCCCGATTTTATTTAGGCTGTCAATGTATCAGTCCTCAGGCAATAAATCTGGATCGATCTAAGACAATTCTGTTCCCTGATTTCCCAAGCTTCCTGTAGCAGCCAAAGCAGTCACATGACCCAGGTCTGGCCAATGAGATTCAAGGGAGACACTTTTGCTTTCTTGATAAAGGGGAAAGCACAGCTGGTTTAGCTCTTCCCTCTTTCCTTCTTGTTTTTGCCTAGAATGCAGGGGTGAGGCCAGGAGGGGCAGGAGCCATTCTGCAAGAAGCCAACTAGCTCAGGATGGATGAGAAGGAAGACAGAACAGGCTTGGGTCCCAGGGACATCACTGAGTGCCAGCTGTGGACTGGCTTCCTCAGGACTTCTCATAACGCTGGACAATAATTTGTCAACCACCATGGTCAGGTTTTCTTTGACTTGCAAAGAAATGCATTTGATACTCCTTAATCTGGGTATTTCCAGTGGACGATTTCCAAAACATACTCTTCTTTTCTCCTCTATAATCATTCCCTCTTTCCCTTAACACCTTCTGTGGATTTCTTATTGGCATGGGGCTTTCTCATGTGCCAAGATGACAGTCTGTAGCTTTACAACGAGGTCTATCTGATGGGGGAGACAGGTCAGGACAAAAGCCTCCGTCCCGGGGCACCCTCTCCAATCCCTCACATTAGCAGTCAAGAGTGATCCTTCCGGCAAATCGGACCTTGGCACCTTCCTGCTAAAATCACTCTCCTATTGCTCCCAGGGACTCTGGGCTCAAAGCCAAATGCCCATCCCTGGTTTACAGGACTGACATGGGCTGGCCGCTGCTTCCTCCTATCCTCTGCCCTGGACATCCTCGTCCCTTGCTGGACATGCTCCAGTTACTCAGAACACCCTTCTTTCTCCTCAACACAACACTCTCTGTTCCTTCAGCCTGGAACATTCCATCTTCCTTCACTTTCACCTGGGAAACTCCTGCTTATCCCCCAGGCCTCGGCTGAGATGGTACTACCTCTGTGAAGCGGCCCTGACCATGCTCAGCTGAGGCAGCCACTAGGATTCTCCCCCAGCCTTGAACCCCCTCAGTCAAGTGCTCCACATTCTACTGCAGCTGCCTTGTTCCCCTGCCTGCATCTCCACTGGGCAGCGAGCACGTCAAGGCAGGGCTTTGCTTTTATTCCCAGCGTGGTCCTTGAAAACAGTGACCATGCTCCCTTCTGTTTGAAACTTTCCATGACTCAACATCGGACTCAAAGTAAACGTTCTTGCGGGGACTTTCAGGCCCCGGCTTAATCTTTCTCAGCTCCTCTTTCCCCTCCCCCCATAATCCACTCACACCAGCATCCTCGAAGTTCCCCAAAGACATTGTTCATCCTTTCACCCCAGGACATTTGCACCTCCTGTCTCCACTGTCCCAACAGGCTTCCCACAGATACCCCGGTGGCTTGCTCCTTGCCTTCCTTTAGGTCTCACCTCAAATGTCTCCTTACCAAGCAGACTTGCCTCACCTAGGAACCTATCTTCTTTCTTGACTCCCTTACTCCTTGGCATAGTATATATTAAAATATATTTACTAGTTGATTGTCACCCCTACTAAAATCTGAGCTCCATGTGAGCAAGGATGTTGCCTGTTTTGTTCACTGCTGTGTCCCTAGTACAGTGCCTGGCACATAGCAGGTGCTGTATAAATGTTTGTTGAATGACTACATAAACAGTCCAGAGGGTAGAGCATCACCTAAACGCCTGAAAGCATTAAGAGGGCTGCTATGGCCTTTCCTACTCAGCAGTGGTATATGATTACAGAAGAGTTGTCCACAGGGCCATGTCTGTCCTCAAAATCACTTGCAAAATCAAATGAACAAGATGTGAAGACGACTTACTTTCAAATGACCATTTGTTCAGCTCGCTGTACAAGTCTTCAATGCAGCCTCGCTCATCACAGAGCTCACTTATTCTACCTGTAAAATCAGCCAAGACCTTAACAGAAAGAAATCACCAAAGACATTTCAGTCACTGAAGGAAAACAAAAGTTTCAAGTTCAGTAAGTTAGCTTCAGGTTTTGCTACCTTATATATTCACTGCCCATAATGTTACTCATTCTGAATCATCACTAATTATATATTCTCCTTGGCAGTTCATCTTCTGCCCCAACACCCTTGTCCTGGGTTATTTCCTGAGCTTTCCCTGCAGCCTCCCTGAAGCTTAGGTTTCAGCTTTTGATCTAAATTTAAGAAAAGGAAAACATTTCTTCTAATCAGAATGGAGAATAAACCACAAAGGAGGAATCAGCCCAGTGTCTCTGTGGGGACAACGTCTCAAGGACTCTGGCTACCCTGAGGTTTGCCACTTCCATAGCTGGGCAGGCAAACGTCTCCTTACTGGTTGGGGTTGTATTAAGCATGTTAAGCTTAGAGCCAGGGAACTGTAAGTTCTGGACGCAGCGCCTTTACTGAACAGCTCTGTCACCTTGGACAGGTCCTATACAGCCCCTAGAGGCCAGTTTCCACAATCAGGGTTTTAGATGACTAATGCTTTGCACTTCATGAGGCTTGTACAGAACCAGGCATGGTACAAAGTGTATTACCTTAGCTGATCCTCAAATAAGCTCATGAGGTAGAAAGTACTGTCATTACTCCCATTTCCTAGGTAACAGATGACAAAACTGAGGCTTAGAGAGTAGCTAAGGCACTCTCCCTTGGACACATAAAAGTGGCTCTGCTGGGGTCTGAAATAGGGTATATAGGACTACAAAATCCACAGGTGCAACTAATGGGCATGTTTAGTTTGTCCACATAGCATGTTAAAAAGTACTTTGAATTTGTTACCATCAAAAAATCCAGAGATTTCCCATGAACATATGAATTTTCCGTTAGTCATCAAAAAATAATAATAATTACTAGATCTGGTGACACTGGGTCTACATTTCCATGTGGCAGGCATTTGCCAGAGCTGGGGCCGCTGTCCCCTCTAGAAAGGGCATGCACTATTCTGCTTGCTAAAATCCCTATTGGGCCTGTCTTATACATTGATATTAATCACCTGGCCCTTGGAAGCTTCTGAATTTGCAATCTTTCACCTACATGATCCTATGTGGGTCCAGTTCAAAATAAATACCCAGAGTGAACAGGAGTAAAAAGAATCCTCTACATTTTTAAATCCTTCCCCCTTTGGGCCCCTGCTGGCTAAAGGATAACATCTAAAAACCTTAGCGTGGCACAAAAATATTGTAAAGACCTGCCCTCTGCCCAGCATCATTTCAGAGAAAGCTTCACTTCAGCTGCCCTAAATGTACTGTTCTCTGAACACACCGTCTCATGCCTCCATATTTTCAGCAGGCTATGCTCTCTGCCTGAATGCCTTTTCTCACCTTCTCTGGCTTGCAGACTCCTACTCATCCTAAAAAACCCAGCTCAGCTGTCACTACCTAGGAAGTTTATAGTGTTATCTCATTTAATCCTCACAGTAAACCTATGGAGTGGGAATTGTTACTCCCAGTTTATAGACTGGGAAAGTGAGCAAGTTAAATGGTACAGTCAGGTTACATAGCTGGTGGGGGTGGGGTGACGTTCAAAACCAGGACTGTAGAATGTCAAAGTCTATGCTCGTAACTGCTCCCTTATCGTAATACTACTTTAAAAGGGAGTGAAGGAGGGGGGAATAAGGAAGGAGGATGTGGAGAGGAATGAGGAGAAAAGGAAGACTCCTGAGTTATCCAAATTGCCTGCCTTTTCTTCTGCACTTTGTAGCTGTGGCTTGAAGCTCCACTAAATCCCTCCATCCCCAGAAGAACCAGGAAAGCGAACCCCATCCTGCAAACCTCATTGATTTTGTTGTCCAGCTTCATAATTTCCACTGGTTTCATTAGTTTCTTTTGAAAGGCACTCCTGACCCTCTGCCAGTCTTCTCCTTCCCTGGGAGAGAAGCAGAATTATATTTAGAGCAAACGGAAAGGAAAAGAACGAAGAAGCAGAGACACCTCCAGTTCTCTGACTTCATAAACTATATAACCAAATGAACACAAAATCGTGCCAAGAAACAGCCAGAGAATAATTAGTATTGGAATATTCGGGGCTGGTTTGACAGTACGATGAATAATCACTTTTCCCTTGAGCCAAAGATCGCACAGAAAGATCAAGTCCAGATATTTGGGTTCAGAACTTTTGATGTGCCCTCGCTGGGGTTGAACTGGGAGGCCAGTGGCCTGTTTCCAGCAGTAAGGGTGGGCACGTGAACACCCACTTCACCAGCAACTCAGATCTGTTTGAGGAAAAAAATCTTGTCTTCTTTCAATTGGGTTGAAAGGCACATTCACAGAACACCTCGAATTTAGAATTTTGCCATTGCCTTCAAATAACAGTGAGAGATTCACCGGAGCTTTTGTAAAAAGCCTGTTCTCATCGTGAACCCTTTTGCACTTGCTCTATAGATGACCACGCTGCCTGTGATGCATCACGCATTAATGCCGTTTTTAATTCTAGTAATTAGGGACTTCCCTCGTGGCTCAGTGGTTAAGAATCTGCCTGCCAATGCAGGGGACACGGGTTCGATCCCTGGTCCCAGAAGATCCCACATGCTGCAGAGCAACTAAGCCCATGCTCCACAACTACTGAGCCTGCGCTCTAGAGCCAGCGAGCCCGCTAGCCACACCTAGAAAAAGCCGCAGCGCAGCAACGAAGAGCCAATGTAGCCATAAATAAATAAATCCAGTAATTATATATATCCTGAAAAATACAACTATTAGGCATTATAATTTGGGGGTAAAAAAAGTGCTAACGTATTAAATGCTAACAATGTAAAAGCTGAGGAATCATATCACATTAGAGTATTTCTCTCTAAAATGCAACCTCCACACCCCTCCATGCCAGCTTTCCAAGTAGGTCTATCTCCTAATTCCCACAGTTTCCTTTACAAAGGAAGGTCATTGTCAAAAGCAAAAGGAGTTAACTTCTGGCGTTTGAGCTACCAAGGGGGGAGAGGGGCGGGTCGCAGAATTTTAAGGGATAATTTTATTAGTATAACATGTTTGCCTTGGCACGCTAACTTGACAATCTCATTCCACCCAAGAGTCCAAACATCATAATTCGCGTAACCATTTTTTTGACATTTCTTTGACGGAAAGACCTGGCCCAGCCCACTTGCCAGAAAGAACACAAGTGTTGCGTACTCAGCCCAAACGTCCCTCCACCCACTCTAGTCCACGCAAGAGCCTGTGACCGCAGCAGGTACGGGCTTCCGTGTTCTCCCTGCATTAGAAGGGTCCAACCCCAGGGAACCCTCATTCCCGTCCCTTCCCAATTTCCAGCCGCCGAACCCCATCCAGCTTCCTGGACTCACAAGATCAGCAGTCCGTAGCCCTCCTCGCGATAGTCGCGATAGGCCTTCCACGGTTTGATCTCCAGACGCTGGGGGTACGCGCTCTCCGTGCGGTAGAGCGCTTCCAGCAGACACGGCGAGCCCAAGTGCACCGAGTCGAAGGAACCCAACTTCATGCGGAAAATCTTGCCATATTTCTCGTGGTACTCCGCCTGCAGCGGGCCGGGCAGGGTGCGAAGTAAGCGCGCGTCCGCTGCAGAGTCCCAAGAGCGCTTCTCCCTCCTCCCCGCCTCCTTCCCCTCGGGGACCGGGGCCCGCTGCAGCCTGGACACACAACCGAGCGCACCGTGCGCCCGAACCGCGCGCCTCGGGGAGGGTTTGGAGAGCAAGGCGGGGAGCAGAACGGGAACTGGGGGCGCGACGAGGCATTTACCAGCGTGTCGTGCTGTTTCTTGAGCCCTCCTTTCCAGAGAATCTCCAGCAGACTGCCCAGCAGTGGCCACTTGGTGGGACCGGGCAGGGCGGCCGCGTCTTGCGCCTCGCCCTGTTCCACCATGGGGCAGAGGGGCACCTCCCGCGGCCGACGGGGCGCGCACGCCGTAGATGTCACGGGTCTGGGGGGCTGCCCCAGGCTGCGCAGCTCCTGTAGGAAGGCGGCAAGGGAGCGGCTCTTGCCGATGGGGGAGCTCATGGCAGCGGAGGAGACCGGGCGCTTGGGAATGTGCGGGGGCTGGGAAGGGCGAGGTGGCTAAAGAGGCGCCGGCGAGGGCTGGGGCCTTACGATTCTGCGGAAGAGAGGCAAAGAGGAGCAGCAGGTGTGGGAGAGGGCGGAAGACGGACGGAGAGCAGAAAGGAACTCGGCGAGGATGCTCGACGCTGCACCGCGCGGCAGCCTCAGGGAGCGGATGCCCGCCTAGCGCTGGCCGCAGGGGCTGGAGGAGCGCAGCCGGGAGTTGGGTGGCTCTTGGAAGAGGAAAGGAAAGGACGTGAGTCCGCCTGTTGGTTGCAAGTCTGACTTCCAGCTCTGGAGTAGCGAAGTGGAGGTGTCTAGGAAGGTAGAAGAGATGCTGCTGGCGCTGCGCTTTGCTCCTGTCCCTCTCCATGCTCCATGCCCGGGGACCATGTATTTATGGAGACAGGGCAGGCCCTGGGTGGCCAATGAGCACGCTAAGTGGGGCGGAGTGGGTTACGGCTGGCCAGGCCCGGAGGGACGCGGGACCCGGGGTTGGGGGTGGTGCATGGAAGTAGGATGGAGTCAGCGAGGTGAGCGAGGGCGCCAGGCCTCGGGTGACCGGAGCGCGGCTCTCCGGGCGGGAACGCCGCGGACTCCACCCTGGAGATAATCCCCCAGGGAAGGCACGCTCACTGGAGTTCACCGGGCGTGCGCCGAGCGCGCCTCCCCGCCCTCCCCCGGCGGCCGGGAACTGCAGCCTCGCGCTTGCACAATCGCGCCGCCGCGCTGGCGAGGTCTCCGAGCACCGCCCCGGGGAGGCTGCCGGCGCCTGCCGGAGCTCGAGAGCCCGCGCGTTGCCCGAAACCAGTTTTTTTGCCAGCCTGGACGGAAGTGTTTTTGGAGGAAGGTTGGCTTTCTGCACCTCCCAAGGTGGGGAGGGTTTGAGTCTTAGTGAAAGGCACCCGAAGAGGGGATTTCACCTTAGGGTCTTAACTTGGGCAAGGAGGAGCCGCTGAATTTGGAGAGTTTTCTCCCTAGCTGCTCCATTTTGGTTGTTATGAAGATGTAATGAGTGAGTGCAGGTAAAGCGCCTACAACGTAGTCCACCGTCAGTACTCCACCTGATGTTGCCATTTTAGCTGGTTATGAAATGAGAGGCAAAAGCAGGGCTTGTGGTTGAGACTGGGCATCTGCCCCTCCCTCCATTTGGACACCGAACACCTTGTGCAAAAGCTAGGCACCTGCACCTTCGAACCGCGGCCCCTACCATCCCCATCCATCCCTACAAAGTCCATCTTAAGCAGGCGCGGGAGAGAACACACCATACACACACACACACACACACACTTCCTAGGGTCCTCGTGGCTGCCAAGGGTAGAACTCTCTGTACTAATCAAGGAAGAGAAGTTGGAGACTTTGCTGATTGTTTTGAAGTGGTTCGTATTCTTTCGTTCTGATCCAGTACAAAAACGACCGCCAGCCAAGGAGGAGGTGAGGGAAGTTCTGTTTCCTCTGAGGGTTTTCAGTCACGTGACTGCGTCATTTTGGCCCTGGTGTCAAATCCTTCTCTCGTAAGTTTATTGTAAACTTTTAGCTGGTTTTTTGAAAACCTTTTGCAGGCCGACTTGAGCTTGAACTCTGTCATTTCAGATTTGTCTTGATTAAACGTTAATGGCTGTTAATGTTAATAAAAGTAATAGTTATATATTTATATAATTCATACATAATGTATTATATCTATATAGATATCTATATATACACTATATAGTACATATTCTATACCATATTCTATAGAATATATACTATATGTAATATATCTATATATACACTATATAGTACATATTCTATAGCATATGCTATAGAATATATACTATATGTAATAGACACTATATCATATATACCATATGTTACTTAGTGTACAAATGTAAAGCTTTCTAGGGCTTATGATAAGCCAGGCACTAAGCTAGACATTTTTCGTAGAATTTTCCATTTCAGCCCAATGGCAAAAAAATAAATGAATAAATAAAGTTAAAATTTAGAGAGTTCTATAATTTGCCCTGTGTCACAGACCTTATCATAGTGTTATGTGGAAGTCAGACCCAGATTTTCTGATTTTGGCCTTTACTATGTACCTTCATATACAACATGCTATATTACATCACCCTTTCTTAAACCAGGAATATCTCAGAATATTGGAAATGTTTCTTAAATGGGAATATCTCCAAAACGGAGGTGGGTGGGATCAGTATATGTGGAGCTGTGTGGTGCAAATGTTGTTTTACGCCTCAGTGGTGGTAAAATAAATAAATAAAAAGCCCCAAACAGAAGAAGCATTCAGTTCACCACTGTGTGCCTTTCTTCTGGCACGGTGCTTGACACATAGTAAGTGCTCAAGAAATGCTGAATCCTATTGTTATGTCAGCTATTGAGTTATCTGCCCACCCCCCACCCCACCCCCACCCCCGCTGTGTTTTCTTTTCTTTCTCTCTCGGCAGGTGTGCTTAAGCAGAAAGGAAAATAATTTCAGATTTGCTAGGTTTTCACCTCAGTTTAGCATCATTTTGCTTTATAAACTCCAAATAGATACTTAGAAGTGCAGGCAGTCGTTAGTCTCATAACAGCCAGCAAGAAAATTCCTATTTCGGAGAAATTGTTTTCTCATGTCCAGTGGAGAAAGTCCCGGATTGCAGAAGAAAGCCGTGCTGGTTCTTTAAAACTTGGTTGACATCAACACATACCCGTCTTTGATGAGGTGCAGCTAAATACAAAATGACTACTTTGAGCCCCTTCCCAGAAACTCACTCCCTCCCTTGGCCTCCTCTGTCGCTTGAGCCCCTGTGAGTCATCCCGATAGGGATGTTGCTGGGAATTACTAATGAGAGATCTTGAAGCGCCTGGTACAGGCCCACCATCATTACCAAGACAGGCCCAGGCCCTCTGTTTTGTTCCGGGAAATCTTACCAAGTCCTGAATGGATAATTATACTCCAGCCCTCACACCAAGTGACCGCAGATGACAAAATTCTGTGTGTGTGTGTGTGTGTGTGTGCATGCGTGCGTGCACGCGTGCGTGCACATGCGCATTTGTGTGAGCTTGTGTGATGAGGGTGAGGTTGAGGGTCCCGAAGAGGGCAACGGCTGATTTCTCTGTGCTGAGAAACACAGCACTCTCTCAAATATATCAAATGTTAATACATAGTTTTGTGCTTCAGAGCTTTGGCTAAACCAGCGGGTGTGTTGTATATCCACTTACTGATTGTGGAAACTTGAAGGACTTACTTTCCACATCTGTCGAACGGATGGTATTAGAACCAACCACACGGTAAAGGTCAAGTCTCCTGGAAATAAGAGTAATAAAAATAGCCAGTCTCGTGGGGTTGCTGTGAGAATAATATATCTATAGTTATTAGCACAGTAAAATGCTCGGTGAATATTACCTACAATATTACTCTATTGTATGCCATGGTTTTTGCAAACTACATACAAGAGAGGCAACATAGATGTCTCAGTTGTTATACCGAGTGTTCAACTTAATACTGTAGTTTCGACTCAGGAAACTGTATAATTGAATAAAGCCAGAGGAAGACTAGCAAAGAAATGCTGGTGAGTTCAAATCCCAGCTCAGCCACTTAGGAGCTGGATCAACCAGCGATAATTTACTTTTATCTCTGTCAGGCTCAGGTAGCTCATCTCAAAGTGCTGATAATGAGAGGACCTACCCAGTAGGGTTTTTCTGAGGATGACAAAGCACTGAGAGTCCTTGGCATATAGTAAAGGTTCTAAAATGTTTATTGTTAACATTAATAAGAATTAACAGGGTTTGGGCTCTCAAATAATGAAGGTCATAACCTCTGTTGCGTTTGTCTTGGGGTTTCCTGCCTGATTAGACACACACAAAAAAAATCCTTGAAATTACAGACATTGTCTCCTTTTTTTTTTTTTTTTTTTGTCTCTGCTAGAGCAAATGACACAGTACCGCCCCTTTACCTTGGCCAGCATCCAATAAGCACATAATAGGCAATTGATCATTGATGATTTCCTCATTGCCAAATGAAAAGAGAAAGATTTGTATCAATACATTCTTTGTTTTCTGAGGAAGAGATTGTTGGAAAATCCCAGAGGGTTTTATTTGTCATACAGGAAGCAATTCTATATGACAAAAAGAATAGCTTGGCTTTCAACAGCTTGGGTTGAAGCCAAGGCTCTACCACTCACTAGCTGTGTGACCTTAGGCAAATTATTTAACCTCTCTGAGCCTAGTTTCCTCATTCATAAAATTGGGGGTTACTATACTTACGTCTTAGGAAGGTTAAGATGAATATTTGAAATATCAGCCAAAATGCAATCAACCATTGTCTTCACAAACGTCCATTTGGCCCCTGTATATGCTTGATAATTTCTGAGTAGAATTCAGCCCTTTTGGTAAATTATACTATGAAAAAATGTATCTTAAAGCCTCCAAAATGCAGTTACATGGAGAGAACTTTTGTAAAAGTTCGTTAAAAGAGCAGGTTCATTTCTAAGGAGATGAAAAACACAGGTATACACTCAAGTTTATAAGTCATTTTACTATTTATTTATTTAGGCCACATCATGAGGCATGTGAGATCTTAGCTGCCTGACCAGGGATTGAACCTGTGCCCCCTGCAGTGGAAGTGCAGTATTAACCACTGGACCGCCAGGGAAATCCCAACAAATTGTAATTTATTGAAGAGCTACTATGTGTCTGCCAGATATTTTGTATCTTTACTGACACAATTTGTAAGTTAAGTGTTATTTCCCATTTTGTGTGAGTAAACTTGTTTTTTATAGAGTTTAAGCCAGACCTGAGTTTGAACCCACCATGCTACATATTACCAAACTGGTCCACCTTGTCCTCACCTGCAAAATGGGAATAATAATAGTGGCTCTTTTATGTTATTATAACACTGTAGTTTTACTTGTAACTTGAGTTCTAGCTTGCTTCAGGAGGTCCCTGATGGCAGGAAGACTGTCTGTCTTCTGCTGTATTCTTAGTACCTATAACTATGCTTGGATCAGTCAAGGTGCCCAATAAATAATTGTCAAATAAGATATTGCAAAATAACAAAGATTAAATGCCTTACGTGTTACAGCTGTACTTGTTCTATTTGGTTGATTCTGTGGTTCTGGTGAAACACAGTTCCTGTGTTTAATTACAAACCTTATATATAAAGAGACATTTTATTTCCTTTTTTCTTTTTTCAGAAATATCTGGGGAAATCGAGGTCTGTATGTAGATGTGCCCTCTTTAAAGTAATAGAGCATCTCCACATAAAAATGGAGAAAATCACACAGAAACGAAGACCCAACACAGCAAAAATTAATTAATTAATTAATAAACTCCTACCTCCAACATCTAAAAAAAAATGGAGCAAATCAATTAAATGAATTAATATTTTGAATAGTGTTTTTTACATGGTAAATAGTAAGTATTAGCAGT